CGCTGTCCCTATCTTCTTCCTGTTGGAGTAGGATGCTAGTCAACTGGTTGTTGTGATTTTTTAAAACCCGCTCCTGGTACTTCTTATTAACACGAACGCCGAACCAAAGAGCCCGTACGAGAGAGACAGAGAAAATCCAGTCGGACAGAGAGAGCGAGTGCGTTTACTCAGACAAGCACTTTAAGCAAGTCAGCACAAGTCTTTGAGGGTAAAATGTACAACGTATTTAGGTAAACAAACGAGTGTAAGCTAGATCCATCGAGCCAATCAGCTTCTGTTCGGGCTTGGCTGCCGGAACGATTGGCTGACTCAGCGGCTGAATGCAGTTTAAATTTTTGATCAGTGATTGCTTGATAAAGGGTGTAATAAAAGTGAACTTCTGGGGGGCCTTACAATAATATGAGGCAGCTTTTCTCTGAGTATATTTCTCGGAGGACGTCCGGACGGAAGTGGGTTTAGACAGGTGAGCGCCTAGGCAGACTTGTTTGAATCAATGAAATCTGACAAACATACTCGATTATGAAGCCCAATAAACAAGTATCCAACTGAATTAAATTCAAAGTCTTGAAAAGAACGAAGCCCTCCGACGACATATTTTACCAGCTCGGCTAAAATAGCCTCCGTCGGAGCTTGAGTAGACAAAAAATTACAGGAATCGTCTTAAGGTAACCACGGTTTGCTGCACAGTTCGGTGCACAGCGGAAACGCCGGTTGACTGATTCAGCAGAATCGAGTCACTGTATCCTTCGCCCACCGCAATGTTTGCGGCCAGCCGAATGTCAAAATTGCCTTTTAAGAACTCGAGGGCTGTTATTTAGCCTGCTTTTTAGGTCGGCGAAAAACCTCCTGGCTTGCCGCTTTTAATCTTGAATTTGAGGTATAGTGCGTACCGAAAATATAAAATCGGAAACGGTTGCATTTTCCCAATATTTCGTGCTTGCTAATAACCTGCGTCAGCTGACTTACGCATAACAAAAGCTAAATTACCAAGGAGACGGCATTTCGTTTGGATAAAGTTTACAAAGTACATTACTGCCTTCATCTAGATAAACACATGCAGACCTATACACTTGTCCAAAGAGAGTTTTTAGCATAGTAAATAGTTTGTCTATAACGTGGCACTAATAGTTGATATTTATTATTTTTTATCGGATAAAAATTTTCTAGAAGCATACGCTGCATGCAAAAAGTACATTTTCTGGAAGGGCCTAAATGGGTAAGTAAAATGCTCAACGTTTTAGTTGTCCTAAAGTAATGTCGAAACTTCCGTCAGCAAGTTTTGTAAGCTGGGCCACATACTGTATACCGTATTTCTTATCTAAGCCATTTATGGAATTTCACTTGAGAATATCAAGTTTTCTCGGACCCACGTTGAGGAAAATATAATAACTGGATTTAGTTTTTCTGTTAAAGGTACGTAGTGTTTAATCCATTAATTTGTGCCTTAAAGGCAACAGTACAGCTCACAGGCATTGGCAAGAAGTATAGGGGATTATGTTTATAGAAGATAATGTACTTCATTATCCTCTCCAGAGTATGTTCACGTTTCATTTTATTCTTATTTGCTATACTGCTTTTTGGTTCTTTTGCCTACTGCCTTTGCTTTATTATTTTTCTGCTAGCTAACTCTCTCTCTCTCTCAACGTGAATCAAGTTATGCATAAAGTGGAATGAATTGACCGATGCAACTGTCAAAACAGGAAACCGACATTGAGGTAGTTAAAACGTTTCCTTTCTCCGAAAACAGAAGGCGATATCAAACGCAGCCTGGAGATTCAAAATGAAACTAGTGAATTTCAGCTTTTTAATCTCCAGGCTGTTAGTATGGTAAGTTACAACTAGTGAATTTATTTATTCCGGCTGTAAAACTTTACCAGTCGAATATACAGTAGGTTGCCAAACTCATTTAATCCTACGATTTTTACAAGTAACTCTTACTCAAACGCAGCCCAAGCTGTGGCCCCCAAAGTCTTACAGCAATA